ACTTGTATGAGAATTGGAAGAGATTTGCAAAAGAGTTAGTGTTTGTAATTCATTGTGAGGAGAGGATTGTAGTGGAATTCAAGGAGAATCAATTATAGTTAGATCATGATTTGCTTGTAAACACTTATCTTATGATTTTAATGGATTTCTTATTGTTTTTATCAAATATGTGTAGCAACTAAGTGTGTTCAAGATTTTGTGATATGGTAATGTGATGAATCTTATTTTTCATGAATTTTGTCTGAGATTTCCTATGAATAATCATATATTATTGTATTATCATTTCGATCTTATTTTATTTTCAATCTGAAAAATTACAATGTTAAAATTCCTTGTGAACTAATATTTCTAACCATGCCTAGAAGAACACGTACGATAATACAAAAGAAACTTAGTAGTATAAGAATATTATCAGTAGAAAATTACAACTTAAACAAAGGACTTAAAAATTTCTGAAAAAAATTTGCATGGTTAAGCCAACTTAACTGTAACATGAGTTTGCAATGCTTCTTATAATCTTGGAATAAGTTAAGGAGCATTCTCCCTGGTTCATAATATTAATTTGAAAATTAATTGGAAAAATATCAAGGATTCACACGATCCAATTCATAAGAGTATGATTTTCTTTGCATAGCTAGAAAAACACTAACCCTTTCCATAGGATTTTATTTTTGCGAATTAGGATTAGAAACTTTAAAATTCACCAAATTTCAACTTTCAAACCAAACTTAAGGCTAGTAAACAAGGACTTAATCTATTGTAAAATTAACAAGTTCCACGTATGATCGAAATACAGATTTAAATTCGAATATTACTTAAGCGACATATATATTTGTGTGATTGCCGTGCGCTTCACAGTATATTGAGCATCATGATTCCAATCAGGATGAACAAATCAAATCATCGATTACATGTAGTACAACAATCAAAATTGATAGACTCAAAGCCAACCAAATAGGATGCAAAAGTTGAGTAAAATGCAACAAAAATGAACATAACAAACAAACTCCTAAACAAGTGCAGTATAACTATAGAATACTATAAACACAAATACCCTTATAAAGCAAGTCCAACCCACTAACTTGATCCTCTTAGAAGACTAATTGTCACAAGTACAGATAACGATAACAGCTTGTCAACTCACCTCAAAATCAATATTACTCGGGAATCAATCGAGAGCAAGACCAAGAACTCACAAGTCTTGTTTATGTGTAAACTACAAAATTCAAAATACCTCAAACACCCTTGAAATAAAAATAAAATGAAGAAAATAAGGCAGGGGGAAGTTTACCGTGAGGTTTTGGGTTAAATTTTAAGAAGTTAGATCAGATGGTAATAAAACACTATCCAGAGATTTCACCCTCATTTTGTAAGGACTTCAAAATTTGAGATTTGAGGTTTCCCATAGATGCAAGCCCTTGCGGTTAATTACCCCTCCCGATAATATAAGAACACTTTCGATTAAGGCTTGCCCTTAAGCGCTAAGTATTTAGACTAAGTATTTAGTAGCATCAAATTTGAAATTAAAAATTATGAAAAAATTATCATTCTGAGCCTAAAACGGAGGCTTACTACCTTACCGTATATGCAAGATGGTTCGTTGCCCAAGCAATTTTCTCAGACCACATGTATAAACATTTAATAAGCTGGTCGGAGCACATGTGAGTATTTTAATTTGTTGGTTTGAATTGATTTTTAAATAGTTTTTGCATGCATTTCAAGGCATATTAAACTTAAACTTATGCAAATTTTAACCCACGCGACACTCTCGGATCTTGTGAATTGCGAGCAAGCATTTAACAAGTTGGTCGGAGCACGTACGGGTGTGCTTAATACTTATAGTGCATGATTCTTTGTGTATTTATATGGTCTGGCACGAACTCAGAGGCATTTGATATTTTTCAAGGTTGGTTAAATATAGCTAAGTTAGACAAAATCTTGGATGGGTTGATTGCATATGACCAAAACAGAAATATATATGACCTAAAAAGAAGGCATGGAAAAACAACTAAAAAAGGTGTGTGTGTGTCGGGGGGGGGGGGGGATTCTACAAGCTATCTATTTGGTAAATAATAATAGATATCTACCAGGTAGGTAAAATAATAAAAGACACACAAAATAGATAGATCTTTTATTTCATTAATGATAAGAGAGACACAAATTGAAAGAAATTGTTTCCAAAGATTTATACGACATTCTTTTCATAATTCTAATTCTCTTGATAGAAACTTAGACTCTACCAATCTTTGAAGTGAAAGAATTCCTCAATAGTGCTTTCCAATATTTTATGATACATTAAAAATCACCAATTTTGTAAGCTTCTCCTAGCTTCTTTTCCTAAGGGAGTTTCATACCTTGTTTAATCAAATTTACAAATATTTTGGGTACCATATACCTTCATGAAAGAATAGATCTTATTTTGTCTTTTCTCTAGTTCTATGGGCTTTTTGATTTGTTTTGCGTTAAGGAGGCCAAGCCTTAGTCACAATCCTTTCGCCATTTTCACTTATAATATGCAATTTGATCCTCCTACTCTTTGCACAAACTCTCAATGGAAAACATAATCTTCTTGAATCTAGTAGAAGAGCATAAGGACCCATTTCCCCTAAATAACACCAAAAATATCTCATTAGCCTGAATACTATCTACTTTATTAAGAAGCTTTTCAAATATCCTCAACGAGGATAGCTTAAAGAAGACATTTGCAGAGCACTTAATGCTATTAAGTGAAAGCTTTACTACAAAGCACCCTCATAGTTAGACTTGCATTTTGTACTAAAACTAAATCATTTCAAAGATAAAATCAACTAAAGACTTGGGCTCCTTTCACTGGCTATCACAAGATCATCAATTGTTACCATTTTTCGCGTACCAATGAACCTTTTAAAGAGGGTTCTTCCCTCAATTCAGTTGATCAAAGTTGGCTTAATTGAGTCAACTTGATAGGGCAAATATGATAGTCATCATAAAATTATGTGATTAAATAAAACATATTATATAATAAATAGATTAAAATTTTTTGTGAACTTATTATAATTACTTTATGAGTTAATTAAAAATAAAAAGCAAAATATACTATTCAAATAGACATTCAAAATTTATTACATTTAATCAAAATTGCCAACCACTTCTAGATTAACAACCCAAAGTTACCAACCATAACTATTTTTGCACTCAATTAGGGAGACAATTAAAATTCTCTTTAATTGGCCGAGCTAGATTCCACTTCATTTTGTCTGACCTCTAGTCACTGGCATATAAAGAAATTCCAATTATAGCACTTCACTTCTACTAGAACCTTCTTGTCTCTAGCTTGACCGAATTTCTAAAGGAAGATAGCCAAAATTGGAAGCCTCTTATGCATTAACTCGTCTACTCCATCCCCTTCGATCAATACTTCACATATATGCAAACTCACACCTCAGGCTTCCACAACTTAATGTTAGCACCCTTCCGTTGTTTACTAGTAGTTCTCAACATTGCATCCTAGCCACTTGCATCTCCCTAAGTTGCCCAACCCCATTTTCCTATATGAACGCGTAACCACATTTGCAAGCCTAAAACTTTCCTCCACAATCAAAAACCTATCTCCTAGACACCCCCTATATTAGCGATGTTTAATCATCCATTGTAATGCCACAATTATCATTTGAAGCTCACAACAACTAATAAATCGAAGGCCTGATTGTTAATGTTCTTCAATTGCTTTGATTCTAAAAGGTTTATTACCATATTTTTTGTTTTTTCTCAAAATATTGTGATGAAAATTATTATACTATATGTGCACATACTTTATGATTTCATGGCCACAAAGGGGGAAAAAATATAGTACAACAATTTTCATCACATACGTTAATATTAAAATTTATTCCATCATCAATAAATGTTGCCTAAGTTGGGGCAAATAAGCAAAGCATGAAAATATTTCAATAGCATAGTTGAGTGCCCAAATGGTAGAATTCAGACATTATCCCACCTAATATATAGAGGATCAAACTAAAAGCAAAATATTTCACAAGTCAATCAGAGTAGTTGACAACTAGACCAAATCAATATAGAAAAATCATCATACACTTCGTATAAAAAACTTCATCCACTCGAGTGAAGTTTGTCAATTCAGCATGTTGTAAATATTAGCTCATAAGCTCAACAATGATGAACAACAACATGCTAGAATGACATTGGCGAGCTCAAGACTTCAATATGGAAGAAAGCTTCACGTGCTAGGCAATCCTACAAAGTAATAGATAATGCTACGTGACTAGTGTATGTTACTTTCTTTCATAATGCATAAATGTAGTCACTTATGTAACATAATGGATACCAAGCCAAACGTATAAATAATGGTCAAGGTTGGAATCCGGCACAACAAGCAAATCTTGTGATGTGTTCTTTCAATTAATAAATCGCAAAGCTTCTCTCACTAAATCTTTCTCCTTTTCTTCTCTCTTTTCAAAGTACACTGCCTAGGTTGTGTGAGTTCACAGACAATCTATGATCCAACAATATTGTATTGTAATAAGATGTTAGTGCACAATACTATGTTACATAACTGTTACATGTATAAAATTCCATGATGCAACAATAAAGAAAGAGATGAAAAGATAACACAAGCAAAAAATGAAAAAAATTTGTAACTTTATGCATTGGCTGTTTCCTTCTATAAAAACTTATAATCATTTAGGTAAGTTGAAGCAAGTCATGAAAAGTGAGTTCAGTAACCTACTAGTAAATGAAACTCAATAGATAAAGAACAGGCTCCCTGAACATCAAAAAATAAAAATAAAAAAGTACAATCCATTGCCTTAAAGCTAATATTTTGAGTTAAAACGAGTAAAATAGGGACAAAAAAACTCAAATGAATGTTACTAGATTCAAGGTTGGTTTTCATTTTTCTCTCCATCTCTTCCATTGTGTTCATTTAAGAACAGTCTAAAAGTCACCCTATGACAATTAAAAAGCTATAAATAAAATATAGAAAGAAGCTACGCAGCAGTTACCACTGGAGCCGTCCGGGCAGTAATCCCAAATCTACCATGGCATGCGGAATCATTAGGCCGATAAGACTCCACCTGCATGAACAATTTCACACTTAAATCCACATCTAATTTCCATATTAGAAAAAAAAAAGAAAAATCAAGACCTAAACTGTGAGAAAAAAATAAAATATTCTAGAAGGAAAGAAATTTTCGATTTCAAAACAGGAGAACGAGAGAAGATACCTCCGTGATCTGAAGGACAACCTCGTCCCTACGAAGGAGCTTACCAAGAAGGCGAGGCGCAAGATCTAGGGCATCGATTTGAAAAAAAGCCCGTGGTAGGATCGCAGCCGCCGCTAAGTATTCAAGGGAAGTGGTCGGCCGTAGAAGTTCACCGGAGGCCCGTGGAAACCCGCCGGCCTTGCCCTCGGAGGGCCCCGGAGGCCACGGGAAGAGCGACGGAGCCCTTCTTGTTCTTGATTCTCCTTATTTTTCTCCTGGAATGAGGAGAAAGCTTGGCAGCAGCAGTCATCCCAACGATCTTCCCGCCGAAAAAGGAGGGATGGATAAGAAAGAAAATTAGATAGCAATATTTCCGGAACACAATAACAAATAACATCTAAGTAACATACAATAACATTAGAATAATACGAGAAAAATATTTTTTTTTTGTTATCGATCGATCACCTTCATGGCATAATTTCATTAGACTCCGCACGTAACTCTACGTGCGAGGACAATAACAAATAACATCTAAGTAACATACAATAATATCAGAATAATATAAGAGAAATATTTTTTTTTGTTATCGACCAATCACCTTCATGACATAATTTCATTGGACTCCGCACGTAACTCTACGTGCGAAGTTCTGAGTCCTAATGTAATATTTTTTCCAACTATAGGCCTAACGGATGATTGTATGGAGGCCGCTCCAAGCATTGATATTTATCAATTAGACATTTACTATTGATCAAATTATTGATAAGTTGATAAAATAAAAAAATATGAGTTGGGAGTTTTATCATGAATTTTAATAATTTAGTGAGAATTGAAAAATAGATGAAAGATGATGGTTGATTTTTATTGATCAAATTATTGATAAATTGATAAAATAAAAAAATATGAGTCGGGAGTTTTATCATGAATTTTAATAATTTAGTAAGAATTGAAAAATAGATGAAAGATGATGGTTGATTTATAAATAATAAGTTTCGGATGATATGTATGTAATTCTTGCAACGCCTTATTGCATTTCTTTTGTGTCTTTGATAAAATTAATACAAAATAAATATATCATACATTTTTTGTGCTTTCAATTATTTTTTATTTTTGTTTTCATAGATAAAAATTTTAAAAAAAATTAAAACAAATTTTAATTTTTGTTTTCATAAAATAATTTTTTGAAATTTTTGTTGTCATAATTAGGGCTGTCAAAACGGCTCGTGGTTTCCAAAACAAATTTTAATTTTTGTTTTCATAAAATAATTTTTTGAAATTTTTGTTGTCATAATTAGGGCTGTCAAAACGGCTCGTGGTTCACGAACAGCTCGTGTTCGACTCGTTAAAAAGCTTATGTTCAGCTCGTTCGCTAAGTTAACGAGCCGAACACGAACAACACGAACAAAGGATTATTCGTTCGGCTTTTTTTTGCTTGAAATACTACTAAAAAAAGTTCGAAACACTACTAATCAATTATATATATATCTATATGTATATATATCTTTGATGAGTAGTATTTTTAAAAAAAGGTTCGAAACACTACTAATCAATTATATATATATATATATGTATATATATCTTTGATGAGTAGTATTTTTAAAAAAATTAATTAACTACAAGGCTACAAAAAATTATAATTAATTAAAACTATTAATGAAGAAAATAAAATAAAAATTATTAAATTAAATTTAAATGATGTTTTAAATCTTGTCTCAATCTTTAACATCTTATGACTACGTGATTAAGATTGTCAAAATGACTTTTTGTTTGTTAACGACTTGCTAAACAAACGAGCCGAACACGAACACATTTTTTTAACTCGAAATATTAACGAGCCGAACACGAGCTGGGTCTGAGCTTGCTCGTGTTCGCCTCATTTACACCCCTAGTCATAATTAGTTATTGTTCGTTGTTATTTTATTTTTGTGTTATTTTTTATTTATTTTTGTTTTAATTTAAAATAAAACATATTTTTCTTATTAAAAATATGCTAAGCTTTTTTCAAAAAAACGTCTAAAATATTTTAAAAGTTATTTTCAGAATTTTTAAAAATATGCTGATCTGTTTTTAAGAAATAAATTATAAAAATGAATAAAAATACAAAAAAAATTTAAATAAATAATTTTAAGAAAATAATCACAATAAGGGGGTACATCATTTTTAATATTTTGAAAATTAAAAATCATTATCAAGTGCAAATCATTGCCGCGAATAACTATTACTATTATCCACCATGCCAATCATTACTGCCACCTCACAATAAAGGTGGTTAACAATCTAATTTTGAACCAAGCAGGAATCAACAAAAATAGAATTATTTAACATTAAAATCAGCTAGTGGATCGTTATATTCAATTTAGAGACAAAACAACTCAAAATTAACTCAAGCTTGATTCGGATCGAAATCAAAACAACTAGCTCAAATTTAGTTATTCAGATCTATTTTAGCTTAAAACCAGCCCGATTCGGCTCGAAAATGAAACTAAAAAATTCAATCATTTGGACTCATCTCGTGAATCGTTATGTTCAATTTTGCTTAACATGTTAAATATAATTTTTATAAATAAAAAAATTATGAACCGACCTTGAGTCTGTATGAGCTGATCAATGTGTGTCTTAAAATCGGCTCAAAAAAATTCAATTCAAAATTTTGACGACTCTTTTAGCTCGACGTGATCTCAACCTGAGCCAAACTTTGAATTGATTTTCAAGTGAATAATGATCTTTGAGCTAAATTCACTGCCTTACCCCCAACTAAATGTTCAATAGGTACTGCAACGTTAATAAACAAAAATAATACTTTTTAAAATACCAAATATGCTTTATATAAACGATAAAATGTGCATATATATATATATATATATATA